GCCTTTTTACGGGTTGTTACCTACACTTAATTTTACATACAAAATAGCTTTCCCTGTGAAGAACCCCACTCATAGTAAAATGACTTTCATACAGAATTTGAGAAAGCGGAGAGTTTTGGAGAAAACAAACCCATTTGTACAAAGAAGATTTCACATAAAGTAGCTGAAGCACTTTTTTCTTCTAGAAGCTCATTCCATTGAAGAAGCTCAGTCATGTTTACAGACTCAGACGATACGCTCGCACATACTGTTTAAGGTAGTCGCTTGGTTAGCAAGTTATTTGTGCAAGGAAAAGTATAAACCTATGGAATTCTTGGTTTTTGATTACCTGCTCGTGAGCATATAAAGTCTGCCATGTTTAGAGAGCGTATATCAACACTCCCACTTAAAGACGGAAGAGGTCTGTATTAGCATATAAGGGTTGAGTGTGAATGAAGCTAGATTAACAGCTGAGTTGTTATGCATGGTGTGAGGTTGTTGAGCGTGTGTGTGTGTGAACGTTAGTAGTCTGTTATGAAGTTGTTACAAAGTTGTTATGGTTGGTTAGTAAACAAGTTGTATAAATGGGCATTAAGTCCTCACTAATATGCATGGATAAAATGTATACATTTGTTGTGAATTACTTTTATGCTTAAAATAGGAAGTAGTTCATCATGGTATCATTTGCCTTCTGTTCCTGAGGTGCTTCGCTTCGCTGCTTCGTTTGATGGTGGGTATGGACTCTGTGGCTGCTAAGACGTTTACTCACAAGAAGATGAATGTAATTCTTGATGAGTCGAATTTTTTACTCTGGAAGCAGCAAGTTCTGTTAACTGTTCGTAGCCATCGACTCGAGCGGCTGTTGACTGGCTCGTTGCAGCCTCCGCCTGCGTTTGTAGTTTATTCAAATGGTGAATATGTGCCAAACGAGTTGTATGATGACTTTGTAGCACAAGATAGTGCACTGGCGTTGTGGCTACTGTCAACCATCAGCTCTCACCTGATCTTTCAATTTGTTGGTGCGGAGACAGCAGTGGTTGTTTGGAACAAGGTGCTACAGTTCTTTGCGAATCGTTCTATAACAGCAGTCATCAGTCTTCATTACAAGCTTCAGTCTCTTAAGAAATAAGATGATAGCATGAGGACTTATCTCATTCGGATTAAGGAGGTGTGTGATGCGCTGGCGTCGTGTGACAGTGTGATCTCCACAGCAAATCAAGTTGCCAGCATCTTGAAAGGTCTATCCAGGGATTATCAACCTTATGTTGCGTTCATTACCACTATGAAAGACTCACTGTCACTTGATAAGATGTGTTCCTTGTTGATTGATGCTGAAACTCAAATTGATGGCTTTGATACTCGAGATGATCAGTTTCCAATGAGTTCTCATGTTGCTAATCTGAGTACTAGTTCCAAATCGAGCAACACAAATTCTTATAATCGATCAGACTATCAAAATGAGTCTGGTTATGCTACTCGAGGACGAGGTCGTGAAAGGCCACGGGTTCATTGCAAACATTGTGGCAAGAATGAACACCTAGTGGTTGACTGCTGGCATCGATTTGATAAGAACTTTTCTGGTAAAGGTTCTGCTCTTGCTTCATCCCGAGATAGCTCTGGCAGTGCACACTATTCTAGTCTTGAAGCTGTAGAGAATGTAGCATGTTCCTGTTGTGCTAAAGGACTTGCTGAGGCTCATAATGTTATAACTCCTAGTGGTTCATGGGTGGTTGATTATGGTGCATCACACCATGTCACGCCTGATGCCTCAACCATTTGTCATAAGGGTAATTTTACAAGTGTAGGTAAATTAATTGTTGGCAATGGTGTGCCCCTATCTATTCATCGAGCTTAGAGTTGTTGTGTCTGAGACGAGAGGTCTGGTGAAATCCTTTTACGTGGTAAAGAACGAGGTGGTCTCTATTTTTTTCAGTCGAATGCGGATGCTGGGAGTAGTGGTCAGGCAGAAACTTATGTTGCACTTTCTTCGAATAAAGCTGTATGAACTTTGGCATAGACATCTAGGGCATCCTGCATATGGGACCCTGGAGCAAGGCTGTAAATTATTAAATGTACTTGTTGATAAGAATGTGAATGAACAGTGTGTTGCTTGCTATATGGGAAAAAGTCATAAACTCCCTTTTCATGCATCAGAATCGATTTACACTGCTCCATTCAGTTGATTTATACTGATTTATGGGGACCTTCACCTGTTGCTTCAAACGGGTATAGGTATTATATTAGTTTTGTCGATGCTTGTACATGACACACTTGGCTATATCTGTTGCGTGATAAATCCCAAGAAGTTCATGCTTTCCAGTTATTTCAGCAACTTGTTTCCACACAGTTTAACTTGAAGATATTAGTTGTGCAGAGTGATTAGGGAGGTGACTTTCGAAATCTCTCTCATGTTCTTATAACAGCTGGGATTGTGCACCGTGTAACTTGTCCACACACCTCAGAGCAAAACAGAGTCATTGAAAGGAAACACATGCATATCATTGAGCTTGCATTAGTATTACTTGCTCAGGCTTCTATGCCTATTAAGTTTTTGACATATGGTGCAATGATGGATGTACATCTCATCAATAGATTGCCCACAAAAGTGCTGCAAGGATTATCTCTATATGAGTCGTTGTTTCATAAGCAGCCTGACTATAGTCTGTTGAAGGTTTTTGGTTGTAGGTGTTTTCCACATCTTAGACCATTTAACTTCCATAAATTGGAATTTCGTTCACATCCATGTACATTTCTTGGTATTAGTCCCCAACACAAAGAGTTCTTGTGTCTTGGGAAGAATGGGCGAGTGTATGTATCTAGGCATGTGAAATTTGATGAATGGAAGTTTCCGTTTGTAGCTGAGTCCAGTCATAGTTGTTGTAGCTCTTCTAGTCAAATCAGTCAACCTCTTGATGTTGTGGTAGATGTATACCGATTACTTACTGAAGATGTTGGGGTTTCAGGAAATCAGCATGCCCCTGTGCATGAGCATGAGAGCTCTGTCGTTGATTTTGCTGCTTCGTCGAATGCTCTTGAGGACTCAAATAAGTCTATGTGCCCAAGTGAAACTCATGTTGAGGTGTCAGTCCAGGACGAGGCTGTTGCACCTCATGGTTTGTTCAAGATTCTACATTCAACCATCATCCTATGCTAACTCGCAGCAAATGTTGTGTCTACAAGGCGAAGGTGTACACCACTGTTCTTGATGATAGTGTTCCCTCTAATATTCATGATGCGTTAATGTCAACTAAGTGGGCAGCTACAGTTCATGTGGAGTACTCTGCGTTAATTCAGAATCAAACTTGGAGTTTGGTTGAGTTGCCTCGTGATAAAAGTGTTGTGGGATGCAAATGGTTATTCAAGCTCAAAAGGAACCCAAATGGTTCTATCCATCGCTATAAAGCTCGTCTAGTAGCTAAGGGTTTTTTGTAAGTTCTTAGCCATGATTTTGTGGTTACGTTTAGTCCAGTTGTTAAGTTTACAACTGTCTATGTGGCTCTATCAGTAGCAGTGGTTAGAGGATGGTCACTAAGACAAATAGATATTAATAATGCTTTTTTGAATGGTGATCTGGCTGAAGATGTTTATATGCAACAGCCCCCAAATTTTGAACAGCTTGGCTCCAATAGGGCTCCTTAGTATGCATGCTGCAGAAAGCTTTGTATGGACTTCGTCAGGCTCCACGGAACTGGAATGATAAGCTCAAGAACAGTCTACTCGAGCTAGGCTTTGTGGTGTCAATGGCTTATACATCTCTATTTGTGCGAGTTGTGAATGATTCATGCACGTATATTTTAGTATACGTTGATGATATAATAATTACAGGAAGTTCGAATGCGGAAATTGATGTTGTTATTCATATGTTGCACAAGAATTTCTCTTTAAAAGACCTTGGAGTACTTTCATTCTTCCTTGACATTGAGGTTAAGAGGGTTGGTGCTGGTTTAACCCTCAGTCAGAAAAAAATACATACTCGAGCTATTGGAAAAAACAAACATGCTTCAAGTATCTCCAACTTGCACACCTATGGTAGCTGCTATGAAAAATCCAGGGAAAGGAAGTGCTTTTCTAGTCAATGCCGTGAATTTCGAAGCGTTGTTGGTGTTTTACTATATGTCTGCCATACTAGGCCTGATATTATCTTTGCTGCTAATAAGGTGGTGAAGTTCATTCAAGCACCAAGTGAGAACATCTAGTTGATGTTAAGTGCATCTTACGCTATCTAGCTGGTACGTTGGATTATGGCTTAGTCTTCTCAGCTGAGGATACTAAGTTGTGTGTAAAGCATTTTATGATGCTGATTGGGCAGGCGATACTGGCGATAGGCGTTTGATGACTGACTATAGAGTGTTTCTTGGCAACAGCTTGGTCACCTGGACGTCTAAGAATCAAAATTCAGTGTCACGCTCAACGATGAGAGCTAAATATCGAAGCATTACAGAAGCTGCTGTAGAAGTAACTTGGGTTGATGCTTTATTGAGTGACATAGGGCTGCACTCACTAGATAAACCTATTATGTGATAATACAAGTGCAGTAGCAATGACTGCCAATCCAGTGTATCATACGAAGTCAAAGCATGTTGATCTTGACATTCATTTTGTTCGAGAGAAGGTTGTAGCTAGTAAACTGAGGGTGAGTTATGTACCTGTTGGTTTTCAACTTGTTGATAGCTTTACCAAGCCTTTGGCTAAGGCGTCGTTTCAAGTTTTTTGAGATAAGGTTCATGTTCAACAATGTTGAGTTGAAAAAAGGAGAAGAAGAAAGACGGAAGAATATTAGCATATAAGGGTTGAGTGTGAATGAAGCTAGATTAACAGCTGAGCTGTTATGCATGGTGTGAGGTTGTTGAGCGTGTGTGTGAGAACGTTAGTAGTATGTTATGAAGTTGTTACAAATTTGTTATGGTTGGTTAGTAAACAAGCTGTTTAAATGGGCATTAAGTCCTCACTGATATGCATGAATAAAATGTATACATTTGTTGTGAATTACTTTTATGCTTAAGATAGGAAGTACTTCATCAGTCTGTTTTCTGCTAAAGCACCAGCTCATTCCTTCCATAAGAAAACATTAAGCATTGGCAACATGCAAATATTGAGATGATCGTTCTAATACCTTAGAAATCAAAACGAAAACAGAACTCTAAGCAGTAAACTTTTGCATACAGTTGGTAGAAAGCCAATCATTCGTAATTGTAATCTTATAAATCAGTTTCATTGATACACTTGGAGAGGTCACATCAAGCATTTGTATTGTGTAATATATGATAATCAACAATAGCCTAGGGGTGTAAATAAGACATCGGGGATCATAAGTAACTAGTTTGACTAAAAAAACTAGACTTCACATCGGACATCGTCTAGTCGAGCTATAGCAACTTGAGCTATTGAGCAAGCTAATTTTTCACTAGGTAAATGGATATAATTGAATAACCTCAAACAATTTGACTTTTATCTCAGATGTAGCTCAAAATTTGAAACTATATCAAGATGAAGTCGAGCTTTGAGCCTCAAATTTAGACTCGAGCTCAAGCATGAACTTATTCCAACTTGGGCAAGTCTAAGCTCGATTACACCCCTATTCTACCCACATAACATAGTCAATTCAACACCCACAATCACAATTGATATCCTGACTACTAAGAACAAATCATTCCATCTGGCTATGATCAATTAATCTAAACTTCATGAAGTCAATATCATTACATGGACAAAAACGAGGCAAAATCCTTCCATAAAATGAAAATAGTAAACAGTGATCATTGACCACAATACCAACATTTTTCTCCTTTTCCAGAATCTCTTTAATTGGATGGCATGCAACAGTTACACATAGATTCTATAACATAACAAAATAAACAAGCAATCAATTAAAAGGTACAAGAAAGTATTTATCTGATGTTAGGAAAATAGTAATCAATGGAACCTTAAGATCACTCCCGGAGTATCCCTCTGTCATACTCGCAACAACATCAAAATCAATATCAGGAGACAATTCCTCATTTGCAAGAATAACCTTTAGTATCTTTTCTCTATTTGCAGCATCTGGCAAATTTACCATCAATCTGCCAAATTAGAAACCATTAGTAGACAGTCTCAAACTACCAGAAAGTTAAAACTGGCGTAAGGTCGTGATATATGTACATGTATAGTGTTTGTGTAAGAGTTGAACTACATCTAAAGGGTCTATTTGGCATATTAATAAAATATTGCAACAATAATTTTTGAAAAAGTAAAACAAAATAGGGGAGAAGAAAATACATTCTCTTATAAATTCTGACAAGTATATCATGCACAAGGGAAAATTCTAAAATGAGAAATTTAACTTGAGGTAAATTTAAGGCTAGATACATAAAATGTTATCAAATACACAAAGTTACTTTGTAACTATTTGTTAGAAAGCAACTTTCTAAATTAGGAAGATTGTGTGAAATTAATTAGAAGATTCTATAAATATCCTAGTATTTGTAATCCCTAACTTTAAGGGATTAGTTTTCCCTAGATTTAGTTGGTTTCCTAGTTTAGAAGTTCCCTAAGTTAAATCTTATACTTGTATATATATTTGTGTAACGATCCTATGAAGAATATATCAGAATTCAATCAATATTAATATGGTATCAGAGTTTTTTTAGCTAATTTATGGGGTCTTCTTTATTCTTTTCAATAGCCTTTGATGTTCTCAATCCCTTTCCTTGAGTTTGCAGTGTTAACTTGAGAATAATATAGTGGAAGGTAGTGAAACCAATAATTCTGAAGCTACTCCTGAAGCTTCAGTGAATGAAGGGAATTACTCAAACTCAACAAGTGAATTGTAGAATATATAAACAACCTACATATTAAATGGAAAGAATTACCTAAAGTGGTCTTAACTGGTTCGTACCTTCTGAAAGGGGATAGGAAAATCTAGTCACCTACTCGAGATTGGACCTAAAGAGGGAGATCCTAAGTTTGATGTTTGGGATAAACAAGACTCAATAGTAATGTCTTGGTTATGGAACTCCATGATTCCAAAAATTTGAACTCAAATCATAAAGTAGTATATCAAAATAATGACATATAAATCAATTATAAAAATATATATACATAATGAAAGCTCCATGATAATTTGATATGGATCAAAATAATACAAATATCAATATAATTTACAAACCATATACATAAATAAGAAATAGTATTATACTCTAATGAATAGACATTGAAAATCATGTTGGGATGATGCTCTCGAACAAGTCCAAGTTACTATTAACTGTGAATGAAAATATCTGAAGCATTGAAACTCAGTGATACACTTTTACTTTGTTATACTTCGTGAAATTCATAAACGCAAGCATTCTATGTTATATAAATATAGAGAAATAAGTCTAAGCATGCAATATCATCAATAAAATATTATGTTAGTCATTATCAATTTATGATCTACTTAATCGAGTCCTCATTATATTACTGTTGGTTTAACATAGGCTTGATTATCATTCATTTTCATATATATATATAAAACAATGGCACCTGGTGTCACATAAAATTAAATAACCATAATTAGGTAGCCACAATAAAGGAACCCAAATTTATAATGATAAGCGTTAATGAGTACATGCTCTTAGTTCATGTTTACTAATCCAATAATAAAGTCTTGACAGTGTTTTATTTATCCATTTGATTGTAGAAACTCGTCATTTTTTACAAATAAAATCGCAACTTTGAGGCTTAGTATGAGAGCCATACTTCTCACACGAACATTTCAGTATATGAGTTCGTTTCAAATACGTGGGACTTTAGGCTTTTTAGAGATGGAGACATATATGAAGTGGCATACTTCAGGAATATTAATTATGTTTTTGCACCAGATAGTGAGAGTCCTTCCAAGAGTTCAACATACCCTAAGTGTTACCCATTCTTTAACAATAGTTCAATAGTTTCAGTTAGAGAAACTTCATAGATATAAGATGGTAGACTTCTATGAGTCGAGCGATAATGATTTGATAATTACATATTAATGGGATTGTGAGAGACAATATGAATTTTGAAGCAGTTGTATCTTACTCGCGAAGGTAATTTAGAGTATGTCATACGGCTTCTCAAGAGTGATGCTTACGATTTGTGAGAAACAATGGAGATGGCTTTTCAACTTAAACAATCAATTTAGGAGTATTTTTTGAGTGAGTTCAGGCATAAATACATCGGAGAGACACACATGAACGGTTTAAGGATGTAATTTTCTCAATTTGTCTAAGAATATCAATTTATTTTCAAGTATGGGAGGTAGAAACTTTCTTCGATTAAGGCGTTATGTCTTTAAGTTGATTGTGACTAAGGCTCTTAGATGTGTGTGATTTCTTGAAGGGTTATGTATTAACATTCGCACTCAATTGACAGTAAATCTAACTAAGAGATTCTCCAAGTTGACTCGATAAACCAAAGCGGAGAGAACTCAAAATATAAGGACGAGATTGATGGATAAGTCTAGTACATTTAGTAATAGAACTTTGGATTCTACATGATTATTGTTGAAAAGTCAGCAATGTAGGCACACCGAAAGTGCCTATAATTAATGCACCAAAATTTGGTTCAAAAATTGGGTAAAGGGATAATTATAATTAGTCATTGGACTTTAGGATATTTACAAGATTAGTCCTTAAGCTTCAACTATAAATACCCTAGCTCATTTAGCTTCAAAATCATCCCAAATCATTCTAGCTTTCTCCCAATACTAGAGAATTTAGAGAGTTTTCTTGAGAGTTATTTTCTCTTTTTTATCAAGAGAAATTATTATTGTTTTCTCCTTGGTAGATCGAGAGAGGTTGTAATTCCTATTTTCTCATAGTGAAATTCTTCTACAGTAGCTCGTGGTTTTTACCCTATATTATTTAGGGGTTTTTCACGTAAAATTTGTGTCTTCTTTATCTTCATTTTTTTATTTTCTCAAATTATCATTTACAATTTTACTCAATCCAATAGCCGTCTTCCGCAATAATTATCAGAACCAGATTTGAGTATGTAATATCTGCTTATTGTCTTTGTGGTTGCCACCAAAAGGTGGATCCTCCAACATAAGAAAGTAAGAAGGTATTACCCATTCTTTGAAGGTTTCAGAGAACTATTCACGATAGTGAAATAGTGAGAGCTACCCGTAATAGAAGTTATGACAACGAATTTTGATATTGAAAAGTTCAATGGGAGAAATTTCTCATTATGGAAATTGAAGATGAAGGTCATCCTGAGGAAAGATGGTTGTCTACCAGCTATCAGTGAAAGGTCGGTAGATTTCACAGATGACAACAAATGGATCGAAATAGACGAGAATGCTATGACAAACTTTCATCTAACATTAGCAGATGAAGTATTGTCAAGCATCGAGGAAAACAAGATAGCTAAGGAGATATGAGATCATCTCACCAAACTGTACGAGGCCACATCGTTGCACAATAAAATTTTCCTTAAGAGGAAATTGTACACTCTCTGTATGCCAAAATCTACTTTAGTGACGAAATACTTAAACACACTGAACACTTTATTTTCTCAGCTTACATCCTTAAGATGTACAATAGGAGAACAAGAACGGGCTGAACTTCTACTTGAAAGTCTACCTGATTCGTATGATCAACTCATCATCAACTTGACAAACAACAATGTCATCAGTCTAGTCTTCGATGACGTTGCAGTTGCTGTTCTACAAGAAGAAAATCGACGCAAGAACAAGGAAGACAGACAAGTAAATATGCAACAAGCAGAAGTGTGACAACGATGAGAGGGAGATCAACAGAACGTGACCAAAGTAGTAGTCACAAACATAGTCGATCGAAGTCGATAAGCAAAAAGAATTTAAAGTGCTACAACTGTGGAAAGAAGGGTCACTTGAAGAAAGATTGTTGGAGTCTAAATAAAAACTCCAATCTACAAGGCAAAACCTCAAACACTTCAGATGATGGAGATGCTCTATGCTGTGAAGCGTCAACCACCGTGAAAGGTAGAAAAAAATTGCAGATATATGTCTCATTTATTTAGGAGCAACATATCACATGACCTCAAGAAGAGAATGGTTCCATCATTATGAACATATCTCAGGAGGATCTATGTATAGTTGCAATGATCATGCCTTAGAGATCATTTGCGTGGGAACCATCAAATTGAATATGTATGATGGAACAATTAAAGTTGTTCGAGATGTGCGGCACGTGAAAGGCCTGAAGAAAAATTTATTATCCTACGGATTGTTGGATAATAAAGAAAGCAAGATTGAAACACAAAAAGGAATCATGAAGGTGTTCCATGGAGTGTTTGTGGTGATGAAAGGCAAAAAGATAGCAGCAAACTTGTACATGCTGAAGGGAGAGACTTTGATAGAAGCAGAAGCCTCTGTTGCCTCATGTTGTAACACCCCCAACTCGTACCCGACCCGAATACGAGTCTGAGGTGTCACATTGACTTTTCAAACTTTGACTCTTGACAAATTCAAAGAAAATTTAAAACTTTCATTAAAATAAAAGCGGTTTATTTACATAAATTGACCAAAATAACCAAAATCGATCGGAGCATATTCAACTCAATCAATTAGTACATGCCAACTATAATAAAAATAACCAAACACATTTAAATCATCTATTTTCTGATCTGAAATTTTGTAGGAGAGATGATGACCTGTCTTGCTCTTCTTCGCTTCTCTTCTCGCTTCTATAACCTACGCGTGAAACAATCACACGCTAAGTCTATGACTTAGTGAGGCATTAAACTTATAAAGGAAACTCTAAATGCTTAAACATGTATGAACATATCACTTCATGATGTCACACAATCATTCTATATAATATAATGTACACATATACACATCACACATTATTTCCATCATAATCTTATTCTATTATCCATATTATTATCATTTATATCCTTTAATCATATCTCTTTTTATCAATATATGACTTATTCAAACCATACACACATTATCATATCAATCATATAATACAGTTCATATCACATAAGCATGTACTTCACAAGTACTATCTTCATTGTTATCTTTTTGTTTAGCCCATGTACACTTTTGAGAACTATAAATATGTGAGTCTATTGAGGTTGTGCACTATGCTATCACCACAGCTCGTATGGGGT